CACCCGCCATCTCTTCGCCACGCTCTCAGTGTCTCCCTTCCAGCCCGTGGGCAGGCTCGGGTACCACTCCTGTTCCCTGTCCTTACACCAGCTTCACCATAAGCTGCGTACACGCCAGCTACAGGACTTCAAGGGGAGCAAACCCAAACCTGCCCCTTAACCAGGTGGTGACAGCCCCTGCCAGCCTGCGGCCCTCCAAGGCTATGTCCCGTGGTAGCGGTGCACCCTGCTCTTTGCTGCTTGGCTACTAACAGCGTGGCTCAGGAGCCCAAATTCCCATCCACAGACTAAGATGAATCCTGGGGGGCACCATTTATTAGAAAACATTTTATCAGAGGAAACAAAAGTTCACTTCTTACTCTTCTAGGAGCACCCCAAATTGTTCAAAGCTGCAGCAGCTGGTATACAACTACCTCCACAAGTTCATCAAATGTCATTTGCCTTGATCCCTTGGCAAATAGGAATTGTTCTGCGTTAGCTTAGCAGGAAGTAAGAATGACTGAGCCCAAGAAGGCTGGTTAGCATCACGGCCTTATCCAGCTCAGGTTTTCAAAAAGGGCCAGGCTGGCAGAGAGATGAAAAGTCACCTTTGCAGGCTATATCGGACTCCACAGCTCTCAAGACATTTTGAAAATCTACATAGACAGTATCATAGCCATAGGGATAATGGGTGACCTCATTTTTAGAAATCTACTGTTAATTCCCCAAATGAGACAGCACCAGAGACCCATTTGGAATGCAGGAGGAATTGCCACCTGCATTACCTCGGAAAGTCCAATTTAAAATCCGCCGCTTCCATCAAGTTGCATTTCTTCTCTCAGGGAATTTGCTATCAGGCCTGTCCTGCCAAGTCACAGATAGGTCCGGCATGAAGCGTGGACCTCGTCCGTACGCATGCATCTCCCACCTTGTGCCCTGCCCTCACTGAAGCGGGCAGGGAAATGAATGCAGCATGTTGAAATGGAAAAAGAATGTATTTCTGGAGCCGTCATCCCTGTCCGCAGTCAAGTCTGTGTGCACACAGATGGCATCTCTGTACTGGCTCCCCACGACCTGCTGGCTTGAGGCCGTGAAGAGCTCTGTCAACGCTGCTTGTGCTGCTCCCGCCTTCAGTTACAAAGGGCTTTCATAGCCATCAATAACTGGGAGATAGAAGCCGCAAGTTCCTTAATAAAGTTTTATTTAATCATAACTATGCTTAGGAAAATACACTTGTAAGGGTTAATATAATGCAATTTAGTTTAACTTTATACTACATTTTGGACAAAAGACTTATACATGTTTTTAGGTAAAAACAGGATGTATGATCTGGCTTGTTGTAGATCTATTACAAATGTAGAAAAAACTGTCATGCACTACAGTAGAGAGAGCATGAAAAAAAAAAATTACCTTTGGTTTAATTCAGAGAATACAAGTATTGCACTGTAAAAAGCATCAAACATGGTGCAACTAAACATCATAAACATGTTTCCATGCCAGCTTACAAAAGTTTGTTAGCTAGTGTAATTTTAGAGGGGGGGACAAATATATGTACACATAAAACAATTCCATTAGCTATTTGGATTCTGTTAATATTGTATGCACGCCACATATCTACACAACTGACATTCAAGAAAACTCTTGAATTTGATTTAATACCTTTCAGCTACATTAGATCTGTTGAAATCAATTAGATCTGTCGAAATCAATGACGTTACCGTATCTTAACTGGCCTGTCAGTTGTTAAACATTCTTCTTCTTTAAACGACTAAAGTTCCAGCCTAGATCATCAAAATCCAGAAATAGCAATTACAATACCAGGGATTATTAATGCCTAGCTACCCACATCTAGATCATTTCTCAGGGCAGTTGTTTTGAGTGTATAGATTCTTACAGCAAAAGCCCAGAACGCCACGTTGCTCAAGCAAGGGCTGGCAGTACAGGGGTATCGTTGTGCTAATCCTTCCAACCACGTATCAGAGGTTGAATGCTCGTACAGGTTTTATTGCCAAGAAAGACAAAAATGCTAGCATTGGCAAAACCAACACAAAATAATTTAGGAATATTGAAAAAGACCAAAAAAAAAAAAAAAAGACATTGGAGATACAGCAATGTAAGGCCACCATATATGGTGGGTTACCTGATCTGCGCCCCCACCTCAAATACTCAATATTAGCAATGTCTAACATTTTAGGTACACATAATGCATTACATCCTTGCTGCTTTACCACAACTTACTCCCAAACCTTGATCTTAACCAAGCAGAGAATTCCAACACAGTTCTGCACCAACATTAGGTATTTCAGGACATTGGTGATGGGTCTCAGAAAGAAAGAATCAACTTTTCTTCTTCTTAATATGTTAATAAATTATTTTCAGTTTCTAATCTTGTGGTAAGAAACACTGCCGAACAGGAGCTGACCGTCGTCTTCAAAGAGTTCTTGTCAGATCAAGCATTGAAACCTTGACCGCTTCCCAGAAATGTGCAGCAGAGTCTCTCAGAGAACCACATCTTTGTTTTTATCTCATAGAGAGAGACTTAAAGTCAGTCAACACCATTATTTTCATTTAAAAACAAACCAGAAAAATTATCAGTCCAGTCCACAAATTTATTTATCCACGTAGCTAAAGTCCTTGAAGTCTCTCACAAGATGGCAAAGGCTCTTCGCAAGGATATGAAGGGAGCTATAAAACCTCTACACAGTACGGCAATTCCCAGCATCTGCTCACATCGCTCACAAACGGTGGCAACGTTTATATAGAAAGAAAACACTACTATGAAGAAAAAAAAAATACATCTAAGACTATTACAACTGGTTGTTTATGAAAACAATTCAGCTAGGTTTATTTTCTTAACATTTAACATAAATATAGTTGCAACTTGATCTTCAGTTGACAATGATTGTCGCAGCCAAGGTAAGGATTGAACACTATCTAAGCAAACAAAAACTCACTATACATTATACAATTTATTTCTGCCACGAGGGATGCCTTCCCTCTCAAATCTTTGGCCTCCTATTACCAACCTCTCCCAAAAGCAGAAGCAGTGTAGCATTGGTGCTCTCTATTCATTCAAGGCAGTGGGTTGGTTTGGAGGGGGAGATGACGCGGGGACACGCAGAGAAGGACGGGGTTTACTCCAGAGCTGACACTGAGAGTATTTGTCATGAAGTGCTCTGACAAATACAGTCCGAGCTCCTCAGCTCCACTCTCCAAATGACACCTGCCTCTAAATTTGTTCCCTTGGAGTTGACCACCAGAGAAGCTGCCCCCAACTGCTCCCGCTGAAAAGGCAGCTAATGACAGTTAGAAGAGAGTACAGATGGGACTGGAGGGTCTCGCCCTGTCCCTGCTGGCTTGCACTTTCTTTACGTTTTGCCACTGGTTGGCTACAAGCCGTGAGTCTGCAATCTCTCTTGTCTTTGTGTGTGCCAGATATCAAATCTGTTTAGAATTAAGAACTCCTGGTATGACATGTAGACCTGAGATGACAGGCTGATCACTTAGATGTTTCTCTCTGTGTGGAAGCAGGATGACTTTATTAAAGGCAACTTGAATGAATAAGGAGCAGGAATTCCTACAGTTTTTAATGCCAGGTTTGTTGCTTACCAGTTGATGTATCTTTATTTGTTTTTTCCGTGTGTGAGATGTTAGACTTCGATGAATCATACTTATATCAGTGCTACTATTTTTTTTAAGCTCATAAAGTTGGACTGCTGTCCAACTTGAAAAGGGGAGTGGGAAAAAAAAATCATCTGGACTTGCAGAATTTGCAGACCATTTCCACCGAGAGCGAGTATTTTCCTGTCTGGTGATCCCAAATTATAAATTAGAATTTATTACTCTGTATGTGTATTCAAAATAGCAGAAGTGGCATTTCCATGATAAAAAAAAAATCCTGTAAAATAGTGTTTTGAAATTGCATTGGTATCCTTTTGCTCAAGAACAATACAATTTTAAAGCCAGTCAAAAATATATAGCCAAGCACTTCATAGTATCAGCAACTTCATGCACAACTAATAATACCCCAGGAAAACGGGAAAAATCTGCAGGAAAGAGCATCACAGAAAACTGTCACAGGAAACTGTCCCATGGTAAACAACGAATCTGAACATTTCCAAATAAAAAAAAACTTACACAAACAAAACCAAACATGCATATATAAAGTGTACATGTACTGCACAAGCGCTATTCCTAAAGGATTAAACTGCATAGGTAAAAATCAAAACCAATGTGCAATATTTTAAGCCCTTAAAGCACAATCAAAAAAAAAAAAAAGCAGAAGTTTAAAACAACAAACTTGCTCCCCCACGACAAAGCCAATTATATATCATAGTCATTAAGATATTAATCAAGACAGAGGTTCTCCAATCAAAAGTTGGAAGGACTACTCCCAAATTTTGGCTCACCATTCACGCTTAGGGGATCTGAAATGTACGTTCACAATTATAATTATCTTAAACAGTTATGTTCATCACTAGCCAACTTTGATTTGTTTTACAAAGTGCTCTTTTATGTAATAGAAGCTATCTTCCTGGTAGAAAAACCATCAAGTAGTTTAACACTTTGAACATCAAGACATATAAAGAAGAACTAAAAACAAAAAGGGAGGGGGGAAGGAAGAGGGGAGAGAGAGAAGGAGTTGGCTGCTAGAACAAAAAGCAACTAATGCCAATGGCTCTAATAACATCCAACTTGTGTATTGGTAGCTACAGTCTTGTTCCTAAAAATTTATAAAGGAATTGCATAAGCTAACAAACTAGAAGCTTACACTGACTTTACAGGACACAGCCTTGTACACCCTACCTGCCTTCTCTAACAAAGAGATCCAATAGTTAATGAGTTCACCATTACACAAAAAGTCAAAAAATATTTTCAACTTAAAAAACAAAACAAAACAAAACAACAAACCAATGCAGATACTAAAGCAAACCGTGCTTTAAAAAAAAAAAATCTACAATATCTGTACATAAGCTGTATAAGATCTTACAAAAGAAGATTCCCCCAAACCACAGCTACTTCTACTCCTGCCCTTTTGTTGCCTTCTCAAGATAATACACATTGACTAAGTGGCGATTGAGGTGCTTGCTGTATTCACCTTCCTTTTTAAATGAGCGGTCACAAAAAATGCACACATAGTTCTCCCTGGCCACTGTGGTGTTTGCAGCTCCTTGTGACATCTTTGGACTTGTTTCCTCTTGTACGGAGCGAGTGCCATTTAACCCCGAGTCATCACTGCCTTCTGATATGTTGTCACTTATGTCACTGCCTTCATGGCTGTGGATGCCCTCATCCTCATCCATTTCCTGAGATTCATTTACTGCTGTGTTATCCGGAGATGATAAGGCCAGAACTACTTTAGGGCTCTGAGTACACCCTTCTGGGGGCGCAGGTGCCAGAACAGCACCTCCTGTTGGCTCTGTCGCTGGCAGGCACGTCTTAGTCAGGTCCACTGGGTCTGAGCTGCTCACAGTTTCTGCTGCACAGGTTTCCTCTGGCTCCTTCTCAGGCACCAGACCTGATACCACATCCATGGGCACATCCAAGTTTTCTTCAGAAGACACTGCGTGGGAAGATTGCTCAGAGCAAGAATCTTCCCTTCTGTCCGCCTTTCTCTCCTCCTTTTCACCAACAGTGTCTTCGCTGCCTCCTGCTGCAGCAGGCATTTCTTGGTCCTCTATCTCAGCTTCTGTGTCTGCACCCTGAACTGGCAGACAAAGCTGTCCTGGGTCTTGTACGCAGCCTCCTTTGGGATCGGTGCTCTCTGCCTTGAGAGCATGGCCACCATCGTTGTTTAATGCAGCCGTGTCGGTGGGATCTTGCTCCTTCTGGTCTCTGCCCTCAGCGTCAGGCTTCACGCATCCATCCTCTTCCATGATAGGACACTCATCTGGCATCTCCTCATCCTCGATCTTTTCCTGATCGAGTTTACTGCTTTTCTTACTGTGCTTATTTTTCAGAGCTTTCTTTTTTCTGTTTTTCTTGAGGCAAGAATTTTGCTTTTTAGGCTCCTCCTCTGCTGGTACAACATCACTTTTCTGAGCTTCCTGGCAGTCTCTGGGTTTAGTTTCCACTTTCTTTTTCTTTTTCGTTACTGCCGAGGTATCATTTGCAGGCTCTTGCTTTGAGGAAGTTACTTCAGTCTCCGCCTTTCTTTTGATCTTCTTTGTTTTGCATGTTTTCTCAGTATTTTTCTCAGTTTTAATGTCCACCTCCTTGCTTTCCGAAGCCGATTTCCGACTTCTGGTTGTCACCTGGCCTGCAGAAACATTGCTCGTTGGCTTCTTTTCCTTTGCCAAATTATCTTTTTTCTCCACTTTCACAATTTTCTCAGTTTTCTTTGCAGCTGAATCCCCTTTTGTTTGTTCCTTCTCTGCTTTGTCATTAATGCTTTCAGAAAAGTCAGCTTCGCTCTTTTTTGTCCGTAGCTTCACCTTTGAAACATCCATGGTGATGTCAGAACAATCAGGATGCCTGGACTTGATGTGATACTGCAGGTTACATTTTTTAGATGCTGCGTAATCACAAACAGGGCAGAGAAACTGGCGCGGATTGACGTGGAGCTCAACGTGCTTTTTGAAATTGCTGCGGTCAGCTGTTTTGTAGTCACAGTGTGGGCAAGTCAGAGGCTTCGGCCCATTGTGAACCTGCCTTGCGTGACGAGTTACTTCATGCTGGTTTGAGGCCACATAGCTGCACTGATCACATTTGAATGGCTTCTCACCTAAGGAAGGAAGGGCGGAAGGGAATGATGGTGATTATTAAGCATGGGGAGGTTTGGGGGGGAATCGCTTCCAACTAATACAGATACGGAAATATGAAACTCAAAAAGAAAAAGAAAAAATTATCCATGCGCCTTTAAAATTAAGTAAAATCAACATTAAGAAATCCACGAGTCACAAACACATTCACAAGACACCAAGAACAAAATACAAAAAAGAGAGAAGGGGGAAGGGTTGGGACAAAGGGGATCCAAAACCAAACAAGCAGTAACGTCACAGGTTCTGGCTATGTATGCATACATACCGGCAGAGATCTCTCTACAGTAATATTACCAAATGGAATCCATACCCAACTGGTCCATTGAATGCATTGTAGAAAAATGGAAATGTTAACATTTGATGAATAGCAGTTTCACACAAACTTTCAAAAAAGTCCAACTTTACACAGATTTAGCATACTTCATGGTTGCATTGAAAAGGAAATGAGGGAAAAAAAGCTAGCACAACCCAGAGCACGTGAAGGGACACACTGCTCAGATGATCTTTACCTCTCATAATTCAGTTTGCTGTTACAGTGTCTCAAACATGTGACATATTGGCTGCAGACTACTCATCCCAAGCCAATCAAATGCAGTTCAAGATCATCATGTTACTACTGAAATCTGCATTTACAGTTTTGCAATGACTCTTGCAGAAGTGTTCCTGAAATGTTCAGCTTAGTGTATGCTGCTGCACCAGATGTGGCTTTCCATTTACACATCAAAGCAAATAGGAAAAACACTTCTAGTGTAACAACTCAAATCCAGAAATACTTTAAGAACATCTGTGCATGTACAAATTCAGCTGAGGAACTTGGGAGCTCCTGAGCTCTGAACCAGCATCTCAAAACTGACCTGCAAAACTAATGCATGCCACTTCCCAAATACATTGAAAATCCACTCCAGCCCCTTCTGCTGACGGTACAATAGTACTTCTCCCATCCCTGCAACCCGCTGCCCTGACACTGCCCATACTCGTGCTGCTCCTCTGCAGCGCGACTGAGGAGACCAGAGCAGCCTGCACTGAACATGAAGTCACTGTGACTGTGGTGTGTGTTTGTGTGTTAGCCACACGGCTGATCTGCAACGCCCTCACAAACTTCAAAAAAAGGCTGTGCTGCCTCACTGGCAGGAAGGATGGGGACACTTGATTAAGAGTCTAGATCATTTAATGTCTGACTGCAACATCTTTTTATTATTTAAAGAAGGGTTACTTTGACTGCCTATCACCTTCAGCATATCGTCTTTCCTTCTTTCCTTCCCCCCCCACTTCCTGGTGACATTTTCCACAAGTTTAAGCTCGATGTGCTTTACTGGTCATCCTTCTCACCTACACTTCAAGGAACAGTTCCATGTTACACAGTGTGAGGACAAGAACAGCCTCTCTCTTACGTGCACTTGAATAAGCACAGAGTGCCCGGAGGTGGCTGCAACAGGGTAACTCAAAGGTTATATGTGAAGAGTTTGTGTTCATAGCCTCCTCTAAATCCAGGGGGTTGTTGCACAAGTGGAAAGGACTTGTACCAAGATGGCTAACAATACAGCTGTAGTTATGACGTAGGCTCTAAAGCACTGTCATTCACTGCCTGACATTTGAAGAAAGCTCCAACACAAGTTTGCCTTAAAAGACCAGCCTGTGAACTGCAAGAGTCCAGAAATTGCCACAGAAAAGGTTCACCTGCCTGGGCAATGTGGCAAGACATGCAACAGAAGTTATGAGAGCTATTAATAAAGCACCCCTGATAGCAAGAGTCCCATGTGCACTCCCACTTCCGTCAGCACAGCTCACACCTTCCCTCCCAGACCTTTAAGTGCCAAGGACAGATCCCACTCCTCACCTCCTTTGGATTTGAGACTTCCTTGCACAGACAAGGGGAGAATTAAGATGTTCATGACATGGTTTCCAGGCTCAGTATTGACAAAACTATTTGCAAATTTGCATTTAGCCCAGAGATTCAGCCCCAAATTATTTTTGTTTCTGGAAGCCCAATATTTCATTCACAAAACTCTCAAATCAAAATACTGGCATATCATTTTGAAGCTGGCAATTTTTAATGGGTCCAAATTCCCCCTCCACTACACTTAAAACTGCCTGCCTTCAGATTTCACTTAAAAGCCTCATCTATTGAAGCTGAAAGAATTATTGTTCAGGAGACTTTCACTACTTTTTGCTAGGATTAAGAATTAATCTAGGCCTGGTCAATTCAGATGTTAGCAAACCAAAAGCACAGGCTGAGATCAACCTGAGCTCCCCTAGGAGGGTCACAAAGGACAACTGTGTTGGTGTCTAGCATGCCTATGCAGTTACAACTCACAAAAATGCTATTAATTCATTCAAAAAGAGATTTGCAAGAGAAAGAGAGCAGGAGATCTTTGTAACTCCACATCTTACGACCAGTAATGGGAAATAAAGGCTAGTGAAAATTGCTAATTTGGCTCTTAATGCCACAAGACCCAGCTGTTTGTGAACACCCTCTGAGTTTGCTCTTTTCTTCTCTGTGTCTCCTTGCCATAAGCAGACACTATTTTACAACTTTCTGTAATACTGAGCAAAAAGTTACATTTCCCTTAGAACCCCTGGATGAGATGAGATCGCAGACATCGCAGGGAAGACTCTCAGCTGCTCAGAATTTTTCCAGCTTCATTGATTTGAACTGAGTTATGGCAGCAGACAGAAGACAAAAATCTGCTCCTGTATCATCACAACGTTGTGTTTCCTACTGCATTACTAGGACTACTAGAGCAGCTGTGTGAACCTCAGAATACATTTTAGAGAGTAAAAGGGAAAGAAAAAGATATATTCCCCTGTCATCACTTTTATTAGTGACACTTAGCATTTCCTTAGCAGGTAAAGACAACCTGTTAACCCAGGAGCTAAAGCTCAGGCTGTACTGCATGAGATGACATCTCACACAGAACTGGGCAGCCTGCAGTAAGTGGCCCTGCTTGAGCAGGGGGGCTGAAAGAGATGACCTCCAGAGGTCTCTTCCAACCTCAACCATGCCATGATTCTATGAACCACACCCTTTTCCTGAGCCGTGCTGCTGCCGCCCCTTACCAACCTGAGTGGGTGCGCATGTGCCTGGTCAAATGGGTCTTCTGAGAGCTGGAATAAGGACACATAGCACATTGATAGGGTCGCTCTCCTGCAAAAACAAACAGCAAATTAGTAACTGAAACACAGCTAATTCCCAAACTTGGCTACTGAGCCACACATGCGAGGCTGTCACAGATCCCCAAGTTGTATATGAGGGCACATTACCTCTCAGCAAAGGGACACAGTGAGAATCATATGCCTGAGATGGACATGCAACGTGTCATGCCTTACGAACGAGGGTAGTGAAGGGGCAGAATCCTCATGTCCATCTGGGGTCAGACAGTAACCTCAGGCAAAAGGTGATGATGGCAGCCACCTTTAGGAAGCCCTAAGCCACCACAGCTGACTTTCCTACAGTATTTTCTCCCAGTACTCAGAAGATGCACAAAAGATACAGAACCTGTAAGAAATCAGGTATGTTCTTGCTTCACATAACACCTTACCTGAAACCTCCGTGTTTAATTTGGATTAAGATGGGGAACAACCATCCAACCTGCATTTGCCAGAACACCAGCGCAGATAAAGACTGGGTCTCTACTTCCAAAGTTTTATTGGCAGCATGAAATTAGCTTGGAGCATGGAAAAGCATGATGCCCTGCTCAGTGAAACTATGCTGCTAGCAAAAGCTCAAGTGTAGCAGCATCATTTATTTTGAAGACTCTAATCCCAGGCCTGCAGAGTTATTGTTTCTGGAGAACTAATGGAAACTAACCTGTCATAAATTAGGTCTCCACAAGGGACAGTTAGCTTGTGTAACTATCAGTACAATGATACTTGAAAATCCTTTTCATGTGAAGACAAGCCCCAAATAAAGGCAATTAGTTTTAGAACTAACGCCTGTTAGGCAGCTCCAGGTAAGTACCAGGGGTGTTTGCCCCAAACTGCTAGCATAGCTGAGACACCGAGGCTGCCCGGTCTCCACTACAAGTTGTGAAAACACTTTTTAGTGTCAGGTGGATACCCCCAACAGAAGAGGGGAGTGAAGTTTGGTAGAGAAAAGTAACTCACTCGATTGTAATATTTATTCAAGTCACAGTCAGAATGACACTACAGCATTTTGCTACATCAGTTGAAGCATACAATCAACGTGCTCTCCAAATCACTGAGACCTGGACGTCAGCAAAAGCCCTGCATACAGGCTATTTGTTCACTTTCAGAGGCACAGCTCTATCTGCAGCAGCAAAGACCTTCATCTGCAAGTATGTGATGTGAGGCTCCACTGCAGGCCTTTGCCAAAATAGAAGCAGCCTTTGTAATGCAGACTAATCCCACATTTCTTCCTCCCATGAAACATTTAGACTATCGTTCTTGATTAGATCAGCAGTTTAAAGGTAAATTCACCCTAACAACCATAGCACCCCCCTCTTTCCAGTTAAAACAAGGTAGGAGATTGGTGCAATACACACAATAAAATTAAGTCATGTACAAGGGAGGGGTAAGCCTTTTGTTATAATGAGATGGTTTTGTTTTTAAATGACTCTTTACAATCTGAAAATGTGGCCAAAGGTCCTGGAATATTCAGTCATGTCTTCTTCCTATTACCTGAAATTTCATATATTTAAAGTTACCTACATTAGGAATGTGGAAAAGGCTTTCTTCTAGGGATTTTATACAGGGCACAGCAACAAAACGCCCTAGATTTAAAGTATGACGAATGCAACTAGTTTAAAATGTGTTACTGCCACTTGAGAATTACATGCCTGGCTACATTGTAAGGGCTGTTTTAGAAAATGCTATTCCCCAAAGGATTTTTATTGTAATTTTATAGGCTCATTATATGCAAACAAGCCACCAAAAAAAAACCCTTCTCCACAAGACACTTAAAAGAATAAGCCCCAACCTCGCAAAAGCTTAAGCAGGCATTTAACTCCCTGTAAATGAACAGGCAGACAGACATCAGTGAATGAGTTTAAGATCATGTCTTTATAAAGCTGTTCTTGCAATGCTATTAAAAGTTGTGTCTGCTTGAAACGAAACTTCTTCCATCAAACTTCCAACACAGTAGCAAGTAAGAAAGATCCCCTATGACAACCAAAATAAATAAATAACTAAAAATTACACCCCAAAGCTAAGCACTGAACACTGGGACTGCCTGAAGTAGATGTCTTATTTACACAGGCTTGCACATGATTTTCAAATAAGTTTTCTAGAAATTGTTTCTAACAAGTAAAATGGAAAAAATGGAGAACAATGCTGCACTGTCTTGTACACAGTACGGTTCCAGGATCAGCAGTGTGGAGAGCTGATGGGATAAATCAAGTTCAAACTTGGTCTAACACGTCTAATGAACACAAACAAATCCAGGTAGATCTGTCCCTGACACAAAGGGTCCTTTCTGCGCCATCAGCAAAGGGATGGCCCTGAACATCTCCAGCTACCCCCTCCTGGGCAGCAGACAGGCTCTTCCAGATGTAGCTCTCCCAGCTGACAAGCTTATGACCATCCGCAGGGTCCTTAAACCTGCCAGAGGTCCCCCATATTTGTCAGCAGCCTGCCACACAAGCACTGTCATAAGCTGCAAGGTATCTTCCAGTACAGCGCAGGTTCACGGACACCTGCTTTCCAACATGGACGCAAGCAAGAGGCCAAGCAGTTAACCTCTGCCTGCCTTCCCGTGGTCCCCAAACGCGCTGAGGATCAGGATTTCTCCCACCATGCAAGGTACTAGCAGGCAGCCCCCTTCCCTGCTCCTGGCCACGTGCTCTGGCATTTCTGTGTCCTTAGTAAGTCGATTCAGTTCACTAACCAGCAGAAAACCTACCTGGGGAAGGGGAAAGGAATATTTTACTGCCATTTTAGTGAGCTGAATCAACCAGTCCCAGGATAGGAGGAGAAAACTGAGACTGCCTTTCTCCAGCAGCAGCAGAGCATTTGATCCTGTGCAACTGCACTCTGTACAGAGTCAGTGTTTCAGGAAACTGGAAGGCTCAAACACAGCAGAATCCAATTATCTGCAGGGAGGCATTTTCCCACACAGAAAAAAAAAGCAGGTGAAGTACATAAAATAGGAGAGAGAAAAAAGTACCTATCCAGAATTACTTAACCTATTAGCAACCAGGAAACTAAAGAAACAGACAATTTCAACTTTCTTCTTAATATTCTGAACCCATAAAATAGGAAGAAAATGCAGTATGTACGTGTATCCCTCTCATCTTTTTTCCAACAAATATTTTTCTTAAGTTTAAAATGAAAACTATAATCCAAAGATATTTTAGTATTATTCAGAGAGTTTTTATTAAATTCAGTGCTGTTATGTTAACAGTCTGAAAACATTTTTGACTGTAAAATATCTGTGGGTGTTTTTCTGTGTTTTTTGGGGGGTGGGTTGTTTGTTTGGGGTTTTTTTGTGTGTTGTGGTTTTGTTTGTTTTTTTTAAGGCAATTGATTACGCATGAATACCAGCAGAAACGTTTAGCCCGGCATATAAATCTACCTGCCAGTTGCTTATTCATTCTTCAAATACTCTTCCTTTAGATTTAACACTCTCCCCCACAAAATCAATGTTATTGGAAACAAGGCACATTCCTACAAGACTCTACTAACATATTTGAAAGATTTTTCTCTAGTGAGAACTGGCTGAAAGATCTTAACTTTTAGGTAAGAGCTAGCAAAGTAACAACTACCAGGGTGTACTAAAAAATGCTGAAATCATAATCACTCACCTCAGCTTAATTAAGGAAAAGACATGGCAAACCAAATAACCAGAATCCGTGATTGCACCACCATTTTTAAATGAGAAAAGAGGAACTGGACAATATCCTACATATTTCAACATGCTTGATTTTTTTTCTTTTGATTTTAATGCAGTTCACTGGTACATTGGTCAAATGCAGCGACAACAGAGCGCTTCCTCAGCAAACACGCTTTCATGGTTAGCTCCTGTGAAACTCAACAAGAGCTTTCAGAGATCAGAGGGGGGACCTAATGTCATGTACAAACACAAGCAGGGATGAATTTAAAGTCGAGACAAATGTAAAACAGGCAGGCACCACAGCATGGGCTCACATTTGGCCATGAGTTCCCCGGATGATTTATTTAGTTTTCTTCTATTGCTTTGTCATTTTTAACCTGGTCTCCTTCCTGTTATCTCCCACAATACACACAAAGAAAACAAACTGGAGGATAAACCACACCATTTTCCTAACATCTCTCACAATAATCTTTGTTTACTTGTTTAGGAAAAAAATATTTAGACAGGACTGATTTTTAAACTGCTGGTATTCTCTAAACAACAGCACGTGGCTATTGTTAAGAGAAGAATATGTCTTAACGTACTAAAAATCCCAGCAGACCCTCCCAACCCCGTCAAAGCATGCTGACGAACACAAACTTCTGCACACTTGAGCTCAAGCCCAGCCCCGAGGCTGCCCGACTCCAGCCCTCCCCTTCCAGACAGCTGCAGACAACTGAACTGAAGCCTCCAAACCATTCATGTCACTGCTGTGACAAAACATGACTTCAAAGGAGACCTTCCCCAGTGTTTTGCTCAGCCAGCATAGCCTACAATAAAGGGGAATGGTGTCAGGTCAGCGCAGCAGAAGATGGTTAGCGAGTCTACCGTCTCCTCAGAAAGCCCCGACAAGGGGCAAATAAAGGCTTCCAAGAAGCTGCAGGAAAGTTCTGAACTGCCCCCCCCCGCTTCCACAAAAGGGATCAGGAGGCAAAGCGACTGTACCTCATCGCCTGAAGAGGGGAGGTGGCTGTAACCTCCCCTTGCCGGTTTTGGTCTTGGGCTAGAAAGGAGTCTCCACTTTGGGTATGCTTCAGGACTCCCCATGTGAGAGGCTGGCGAGGCTTTGATACAAAAGCAAGGCGTCTCCTAAACCACCTGCAGACCCAGCGCACCCGATGGCAGCAACACCGAAGGTCCTCTGATTCCACTTGGTATAAATCAGAGTAGAAAGGGGCCTCACGCTTTTCTTTGAGATTACAAACTAATGTTAGGAGAAGACAGGAAATCAGGCCAAAGGCTCCCTTGAGGGCTTCCTATAGGCCAACAGATGCATGTGGCTACTTCTGGCTACTGCAGTGATTCAGATCTTAGAAAAAATGAGGCCCCTCTACATTAAGAGGAATTCATTCACTAGCAACACTACTCAACGCTTATTCTGACTTGGTAGATGCTGGTGGGCTCCTTCACATGTGTGTATCAGCTCACTCGTCTCCATAATTACCACTTAGTCAAGTTTCAGCTCAGTCTGAACGTACCATTTTCAAAAATACCTGTGTGATTTAGGCAGCTTTTGTCAACTTGCTTTGTTTTTACAGTACATCAGGCATTTGTGTTGTAGACCCTGACAATCATCACAGGCACACTTTGTCATGCCCTCTTCAAAAAATTAGCTTAAAATAACTACACAGGATGTTCCTCATCTCCTCTTGGGCCCCTGGAATTGAGAGATTTTCTCAGTCTTCTAAGACTGCAGACTGGAGCTCAAACTAAGTCCACACTTCCATGAGGCTACAACCTGGTAGCACTGAGATGAGAGAGCACAGAGCTTTAACGGGGTGGAATGAACTTTGCAAACAGAAGACTCTCGGCTTGCTTCCTCCATTACAGTTTCCCAGTACTCTTACCATGCTTAAATCAAAAAGGATGAAAAGCTTACCTGTGTGAGTTCGAATATGTTGAATATAATTGTTCTTCCTGTCTGAAAAATAGGAGCACTGTGAGCAGGTATACACTTTCCTGGGAAAATGATTTCTTAGGTGTTTCTTCCAGTGATATTCACTGACGGTAGTATAAGTGCATATGGTACACTTGTAGACTCTCTCATTTTCCCCTGCTTTGTTGTGGTGTTTCAAGTGAGCCAGATAGTGATCATATCTGTTAGTGTTATAGCCACAACGATCACAACGGATTGGGCCCTTAGAGAAATCCACCTCTTCTGCGGTGCAAGAGTCAGACTCCTTCACCTGGGCTTGCTTTTCTGCATTTTCTTCCACAAAGAATTTCTTAGCACTGTGAACCCTTATATGATGCACAAACTCCTCTTCAGACTCTGCCTCGTACTGACAAGGCTTACAACGAAACGGCTTACTCTTCAAGCTCTTACACTTGTCCTCTGTACTTTCTGGAGTACCCGGTGCTTCCAATGGGACATCTTTGTCCGCACTGGGAGTCTTAGGAGGGGGGCAAGCAGCTGCATCTTGGGTTTCCACATTAGGAACTTCAAGAGAGCTCAATTCCACATTTTCAGGTGTGTCGCGGTCACTCTCCGCAGCCTGGGTATCTTCCATACCCTCTCCATCGCTGTCTGAGAAGTTGCTGTCCCCCACTGTTGTCAGTTCTGCCATTTGCCTCTCTTCCCCAACCAGGTAATCGCAGCAGTTGCCATTAACTTCTCCCGTCAAGGCCACATTTGCCAACATAATGAGCTGAGGAGCTGCCAGCTCAGCTTTAGAAAGGTCGTGTAAGTCATACATGTCATTGGACAACGCCATACCAATATTAGCACTGCCAGAAAAGAGGCTGTTCCCACCAGACTGTCCCAGCACTTGGGTTGCCATGGCACTAATTCTGTTGGAACAGAAAAGGAACACCTGTAAGCACCCGAGTTGCAGGAACGCCTCCTCTGCCTTGTGCTGTCCACGCAGCCCCCACCCCAGGTAACACCAGGGGATTAACTCCCTTCCTCCAGACGCTTCCCCCGTTGCCACAGACCACGCTGGGCCTCGGGGGGGCCCGTCCCCCTCCCCAAATGGCTACGTGTGGTGCAGGATCCCGCCCTGTGGAGGCCGGGGAGGGGGTGGCACTGACAGCGGGGTCCCACGTCCCCGATCCCGCAGGGCCCCGGGCCGGGCCGCATCGCTGCCCGTTCCCACGGGGGCGACCAGGACCCACCCGGGGCCGCAGGCCCG